GGTAAAGGGTATGAAATTTCTGATGTTGGTGACTGTGATGGCGGGATGGGTTTTAGGATCCATTAGAATATAGAAGATGAAGTATCGAATAGAAGGTTGAAGGAGAAAAGTTTGAAGAATCGGCGCTTAATCGGAAATCAGAGATTTGGTAGCTCTGATACCATGTTAATGGTATTCAATCTCCCCGATCTCTTCTTATGATAAACACTATATATATATATATATATATATATATATATATATATATATATATATATATATATATATATATATATTATATATATATATATATATATATATATATATATATAAGACCTGCCCTCACTATTTATGGATATACATTGAATAAATAATATTTTATATGACAAACAAACATTCCTTTATCTAAGGGATTAATATCTCGTCCGATAGTTTGTTTTAAAAAAAAATCACTTCAAACCACTTTTCATTGCGTCGCAGAACACGTGCAATAGTTAGGCTTCTGCAGTTGTTTGTTTTATAGAATGATTCTAAATAAAAAAACCTCTGTCTCGTGTGATTCTTGGTGCAGCATTGGACCAAGTGCTTAAAAAAAACGGGACTCTCTAGCAAAAGCGCCGCTCCTCCAAACTCGTCTTCGTTCCATCGTTTTCCTTCTCCCCTTCCAGTCGTCGGCTTCTGATTGCATCAACGCATTGTCCATCGCCGCCTCAGCCCTTCATCGGCGCTCCTGGTTCACGTCGGCACCGACGCTCCTGTTCAATCTCACACCACTCCCTTTACTTCTCCCCTCGACTCAGACTGCTTCCTCTTCGGTCAAACATGCATGTCGTCGCAACCTCCTTCTTTGCCTCGTTCCCCGGCGCAACCTCCTTTCTCGTCGCCTTCGTTATCGCTTGTCAGCCGCCCTTCATCAGGTATGTTTTTTTTTCGCTTATTCATGCTGAATAGTCGTTTCACTTTTTTTTTTCTTGCTGAATTCTTACTGAATCTCGATTATATCTTGCAAACTTGTTATGAAATTGATTGTTCTTGAAATCAGTTTTTCTGAAATCGATTTATGCTCCAGGTAATTTTTCTGAAATCAATATATCCTCTTGGTAATTTTTTTTATTTCTGATTTATCATTCAAATGTCGTTTAAATCGATTTCATTTTGCTGATATCGATTGTTGTTTCCAAATGTTGTTGTTGTGCTAATTTAGCTGAAATCGATATGTTCCATCAACATTGTTGTTGCTCTTTCGTTTTCCAGAATTTGGTGAAATCGATTTTATTTTGTAGAAAAGTTGATTGATCAATTTGTAAAATTTGGTGTGTTTTGTTGGTTAAAGGTTAAATTTATCAAACAAAAAAGTTGATAGAAGAGAAGGAGGAGGAATATGGTTGAAAGTACCTTGCTATTAATGGGATGATATGGCTTGTATTTTGAAACATGAAATTGAGGCTGAAAAAGACGAGCATGACAAGATCAAAACAAGATGGTAAAGTTGCAGGTGGTGTAAAGCTTGGTGGAGCTGTGGTTGCATTCACAGCTGCTATTGGTGATCAAAACAAGATTCTAATCAATCATCCATATGAATGAAATTTATGTACAATTAGGTTAGTAGATTATAGTTTTGGTGAATTGGGAACTAAAATTTGTAGAACGTCCGTATGTGAAAAAACCATATTCATGGAACAAATGATATTTGTTTATCTTGATCTTTGTTCTTTGTTTGTAGTTATTACCTTTTGATATGTTGAGAATTTTCTTGTTTGTTTATATTACTGTGAGGAGTTGGTCAACATGTTTCAATTGATTGTTGAGATATATTCGCAAGTCATAAGTTTATAAGTTCAGGCGTATGTTTAACAACTTGTTTTAAGACTAAAATTATTAACTTTGCAGCAACATGTAGAGATAAAAGAAAAACAAACATGCTTCTTATTAAAGTCTGCAGTCGTTTGGTCCACATCTTCTGGTTAGCAGAGGGTTACAGATGTGGTCCGCAGACTTTAGGAATTTTCGCTTCGAAAAAACAAACAACACCTTACTCTTTCAGCTACACAAACACATTATATGACTATTGCAGAAACAAACAAATAATTTATTTAGTTGAAGAACTTCGTGTTAGAGTTGGGAATGAAACATAAAGATTATGTTATTCATTAAGATAACTCCGACATGCTTCATCTAGCAAATAATCTAATGTTTGATAGTAGGATGGAACATATTCAAATGAAGAACCGATCAGTAGTGATACTAAAAGATCATTGGTATAAAGAATCACTTCCTTAGAGAACCGACCAGTAGTGATACTAAAAGATCATTGGTATAAAGAATCTGATAGACATATTTGATATTTTCGAAAGCGGAGACAACCAAGAAGTTAAACTTTATATGATTTAATTTTGCCTTCTAAATGTTTGATGAGAATGTGTTATCTAGAGAAGAGGTTACATAATTGCGGGTTTATGATATTTATTGGATCTAGTGGATTCATGTATGTTCTTTTAAGACTAAACTGCAAATTTGGTCCCTGTGGTTAGCAAAAATATGTGGATGGAGTCCAAAAAGTTTCCAACTTGCACCACTGGTCCAAAATCAGAAACTTTTTGTGGTTTTAGTCCCTCAAAAAGTTGAAAGGACTATTTTGCCCTTTTAATTTCTTTTTCTAATTTTTTGTATTTGTTTTAACACCCTTTTAATTTAAAAATAATAGAAAAAACAAGAATTGGCCCACCCCACTCTCTCTTCAACGTATCCCTTGTTCTCTCTCTCTCTCTCTCTCTCTCTCTCTCTCACACACACACACACACATAGACACACACATAACTCCTTCTGGACTTTGTCTTCTCCAGACATCCCCAAAACGAAGAACAAAATCCAAAATCAAGCCCTAGAAAAAAAAACTGAACTAAACAAATCAAAGAACATCCTATTCGCACCCTTAAAACAAATTTCTTATTCCTGCATTTCCAACCTTTTCCCTTGGATCATTGTAATCACCTCTTGAACTGGGTTTACAAACATAGTGATTAAAACCCACTGAATCCAAGAAAAAAAGATTTTAATGTAAACCCACAAAGAAGGGGCGATGAGTTCAGCAGATAGACATATTGACATATATATACACTTATTTCCGGTAAGAAGGAGACAAGGTATCACACCTTACCTCCATTTTCGTCTTCTTCACCTTAAGTGCAAGACGGGATCAATTATCTCAATTCTTTACTAAGTTCTTGTCATCAGACTTCAAATTGAAAAAACTCATCAACCAAGCATAAACCAACACTGTCAAACTGTAGGAGTGTTTCCTCCTGTGAATATTGTTGGTTGTCACTCGAGGAAGATGGGTACCGTCGGGAAACATCTCCTCCATCATTGTTTTGTTCTAGGTTTTCTTTGATTTGTAATCACCCTTGATGTTTCGTTTTCTCCGTTCCAAATCTTCATCGAATTTGTATTTCGAGGCTAGATTCCATCTCTTTAATCCTTCAAACACTCCATTGATGAAGTTCTCACATTATGTGTGTATGTGTGTTTGAGTTTATCTATTTCCGTTGTGTTTGAGCTTCTATGTTTTTGGTGTGTTTAAGCCTCTCTGTAACTAGTATAATTTGGTTAAAAAAAATCGTGAGAAGGGTGTGAAATGGAGCAGTAAGGAAGAAGATGATGAGAGAGAGGGGGTATAGGTACAGTCGGTGAGGGTGGGGTGGGCCAATTCTTGTTTTTTCTATTATTTTTAAATTAAAATGGTGTTAAAACAAATACAAAAAATTATAAAAAGAAATTAAAAGGGCAAAATAGTCCTTTCAACTTTTTGAGGGACTAAAACCACAAAAAGTTTCTGATTTTGGACTAGTGGTGTAAGTTGAAAACTTTTTGGACTCCATCCACATATTTTTGCTAACCACAGGGACCAAATTTGCAGTTTAGTCTTCTTTTAATTATTCCCCCAAATCATATATTGCGTATGTTCTTTATTTATAGTTAGTTATTATATAATGTGTATATGTTGATTGTAAACAATGTTGTTAGACTAGGATTTATTATTATTATTATTATTATTATTATTAGGGTAATTTACATCAATCGTCCCTCGTGCATATGTCAAAAAGCACGTTCAGTCCCTATTTTCAAAAATTAACTCAGACCGTCCCTCAGTGTGTTTTTTCTTGCACGCTTAATCCCTCAACATATAAAAAGACCATTTTACCCTTATTTATTTATTTTTTGATTTATTTTATATTTCTTTGTTATTTATTATTTTTTTATTGATTTTTTTATTATAAAAATAATTATTTACTGCCTTTAAGAAAAGAAATGGACCCTAAAACTAATCACCTTCATAACCTGTCTCTTCCCTCATTCTTCTTCATTCTGTCTCATCTCCACCATCACCACCAACACCAATCACCGACATCACCGTCAACACCGATCGTCATCCCTTAAAGGAAAAGAAACCATAAAAAAAGAGAAATTCAATTGTTTGAAACCAAAAATCCTGCAACTTAACAAATCTACAACTTGAAACCAGAAACGATGAAGATACGAGGGTTAATCTGCAACTTGCTACTAGGTTTTACATGTTTAGGTCACAAGGGTCAGAGAGGGACGACTTATATACCGATGTTTTGTTTTCCTCTGTGCATTTTATTTCCAGTCGATTTGGGACCCATATCACCGGAGAAGAAAGGCAAGATGATCTAAAGTGGGGACATAGAAAGCTTATCGGAGAAGAAGAAAAGGGGGAGGACAACCACACATGAGCGGCAAACCACTGCCACTGGAACAAACCAAACCTTGTTCTCATCCATGGCTACAGAGGTAACTCAAGTGGCAATTCATAGTGCAGATATCTCTACTGACATAAAATTTCACCATACCAGATCTGGTGTTTTTCACCAAATCGTATTCGATAAGGACGGAGCTTACAGAGGTGTTTAAGGTGAAGTGCGTGTGTGATGGCATGAAGAAATTAGGGTTTAATAGATTTTGGTGTATATAATTAGTTACAGAGGTTTGTGGTGTACTAGATGGCGGATATGGAGGAGAAGATGGTGGAGAAAGTGGTGCTTGTTAGCAGTGGAATTGGGTATACGGAAGAGCAGAAATCTGAGTATCTGGAGAAGATTGGGCGGAATGTGGCGGAGATTTTGGTAGCGGAAAAATCAAGAGAGGGAGGAGGAAGAAGGTCGATGACGGATGTGTTAAATCAATAGTCGCCGGTGGTGATGTTATTTTTGACATCAATAGAGCAAGGAAAGTGAGGTGGTGGTACGTGGTGGCTATCAAGCGGGTTTCCGGCGGTCGTTGTATCCCCGGTGGTCGGATTTTAGTTTCAAATGAAGGTGAGGGACGATGAAGAGAGGGATTGAAGACTTAGGGTATTTGTTGGTAAATGGGGTGGTGGTGATAGGTTTAAATGTTTAGAAATTATTAATAAATGTAAAAATAAAGGATTAAAATTTATTTTTTGTTTTTCTTATTAATACAAAATAAACCAATAAGGGCAATATAGTCATTTTATGTGAGGAAAAGGATGAATTGTGCAGATTTAAACTAACGAGGGATCAATCGTGCAAGTTTAAACCAAACGAGGGACGGTCCGAGTTAATTTTTAAAAATAGGGACTGAACGTGCTTTTCGGGATATGCACGACGGACGATTGGTGTAATTTACCCTTATTATTATTATTATCGTGTTTTTAGGAATTCCTTTGCAAATATGAGGTTGTTTCAATTACCCTGAAATAGACGGGACAATTCGATACACGACACGATTGACACGACACGAGTTTTCCGTGTATTTTATACTCTCGACCCTTAAGATTTTCATTTTCAACATTTTATCTTACATAATACATTATATCTACATTATTTGTCTTTTTAAAATTTTAATTTAATTTTATGTTATATTTTATATTAATAAACTACAATCAACAAATAAATTTTTAATAAAAAAATCAAGCATCCATATAAATTATCAAAACTGCAAACTAAACTATAAAACTTTATTAAATCTTGTTGTACGGTACAATTTTATGTTGTGAAGTATGAACATTTTTTTACGGTTTGTGATTTTGTTAAATACATTGTATTGTTTTTAAAAAAACTTTATTACTTTAATGCTTAATGGTAGTCACATATCACATTCACTGTAATATTTTGTAAAATCTGATGAAGTCAATAAAGAGAAATCTTTAAATAGTTTAAGATGGATGTTTTATTTTGTTTATGTTTTTATTTGTGATTGTAGTTTATATTTTTTAACATTAAAAATATGTATCCTTTTATGTTATTTATATGTTTGTAATAATATATGATATTATTGGTGAAATGTTTTCAATGGTACAATTTGTAAAAAGTTATAGATAAATTATAACTATATATTTTAAATAAATAAGTTTATAGATAGAATGTAATAGTTAGTTTAAAATAACAATTAAAAATGGAAACTCAAAGATGTAAATATATTCTGTTATGACTTATGTAAAATAAAATGTTAAATATGAAAAAAAAAAAATCTTTACCCCTTTTTTACAAGCCCCAGTTTTGCAAAGAAGTCTCCAAACAACACAAATTTTAGCAAAACTCGTTGGAACAAATGCTAAAGATGCAGTTTCTTGACGACTGTTGCATAGCGAGTAAGCTTTTCTATATTAGTAAACAAGTCAATATTTTTTTTAATCAAAGAATATTTTAGATGTTTGATTGATAATTTGTCTGATTTGTGAATGTTTCTCCGGTTGGCCTTCCTACGCTGACGAATGCCTCTTTTCTCTTCTCTGAAGTCTACAACAAACAAATGGGAGAGGCTGGATTCGAACTTACGTAGAAAGACTTCAACAGATTTACAGTATGTCGCTTTTGACCACTCGGCCACTCTCCCCTTCCCGGGCCGAGGCCCCCCTTGGTAGCTTCTGGCGAAGCTGCGAGTTCATGAGCAAGTGAATGAACGAGCCATGTTCCTAAAAGGAACGGAGATGAGTGGCGCTGTGATGGTTGTTAGGGTTGTAATCATTCACGTGTTTGACGAATCTTTCTAGAATCAAGTGGGAACAAAGATCCAAATTCCCACTTCCCACCATTAAATTACAAATTTAGCAAAAGTCTTTCTATGGTCAATCTAGGGGCGAGTAGTGGGGATAGGTGAAAGGAAGTTTCCTTCTTAGTGGAAATGATGTGATGACTCGTATCATTATCACCTAGTCACTTTCCAACCAAAGGTTTCACATCACTATTTCTTGCTACTTTTTAATATCCAAAAGTTGAATAAGATTCAAAGCATAGTCAATAGTCTGCATGCCATTGCAAGTGGTATATATATATATATATATATATATATATATATATATATATATATATATATATATATATATATATATCAATCAACATCTGGTCCCTGCAAACATTCTTTATAATCACAAACTTTTTCAGAATTAACCCTAAACACTTTATATGAATTCTTTCAGGCTATTTTGGCTTCTATCAGTTGCGTCATTGTGTAGTAATTGTCTGTGTGATGACAAAAACCCGAGACAAATTTTGTGCATTAAGAATGAGAGATTGGCGATTTTGCAGTTTAAGAATGATCTGATAGATGGTGCCAACCGCCTCTCTTCTTGGAGCAGTGCCAAGAACATGGACTGTTGTCAATGGGCTGGAATCGTCTGTGATAACATTACTGGCCATGTCCAAGAGCTTCATCTTCAAGGACCTGATCCTGATCTTGAAGAAGCATCCAATGAGAGACTTGGAGGAACCATAAATCCTTCTTTACTATCGTTGAAGCAACTTAAGTACCTTGACTTGAGCTGCAACGATTTTGAAGCTATTCAAATTCCAAGTTTCATAGGTTCTCTAATAAACTTGAGATACTTGAATCTCTCACTATCACAATTCCAAGGTGACGTTCCTCATGAAATCGGTAATCTGTCCAATTTGGTTGTCCTCGATCTCAGAATTGGACGATGGCTAAGTGATTTTACTGTTAAGAGCTTGGATTGGTTGTCGGGTCTTCCTTTACTACAGTACCTCGACATGTCTGGATATGATCTAAACACTGTGTCTGAATGGCTTCAAGCGATCCACACCCTTCCAGCATTGAACGAATTGTACTTGTCTTCATGTAATCTCTCTCAAATCCCACGTCACCCAATCAAACTTAATTTCACTTCGCTTACCATTCTTGATCTTTCTTATAACTTCTTTGACACTTTGATGCCTGGGTGGATTTTTAGTCTAAGTAAGCTAGTTTCATTGGATTTGTCTAGATGCCTTTTCCATGGTCCGGTTCTTGATAGTGTTAGTGGTTTCAACAACCTGACTCATCTAAAATTTCTTCATGTTACTGAAAATGATTTTATGAATTCACCATATGTTTTGAGGGGGTTGATGAGCCTAACAAGTCTTGTGTCGCTAGATGTTAGTACCTGTGATATTTCAAGTCCAGTTCTTGGTGGCCTTCATAATATGACTTCTCTTGTTAGTATCGATTTGTCACAAAATCATATTGTGGAGGCTTTGCCAAACTCATTTGGTGTCCTTTGCAACTTGATTTATATTGACTTCCGATCTAATAATTTCAGTGGAAGTGTATCGGAGCTTTTAACTAATTTGTGTGAATGCAAATCACGTAAGTTGGAGTATTTAGCTTTTTCTGCAAACCGCCTTTCTGGTTCTATTCCAGAGAGAATAGGACAACTTCAAAATCTGGTCACTTTTGATCTTGCATTCAATTACATTTCTGGTACAATTCCTTATTCTTTAGGAAGATTGTCATTCTTGAAGGAGTTGATGCTTAATGTTAACTCCCTTTCTGGTCCTCTACCCGATTCACTTGGGAACTTAACATCATTGTTTTGGTTAGAGATTTCTTACAACAATTTCAATGGAAGTCTACCTGAAAGTATAGGACACCTTGGGAACTTGGATTATATGAGTGTGCATCACAATTTATTGACGGGTGTTCTAACGGAAAATCACTTTGCCAATCTCACATTATTGAAGACCATATGGGCAGAAGCAAACATGTTATCGCTACAACTAAGAGACCAAAATTGGGTCCCACCTTTCCAACTTAAGGTCCTGAGAATAGGTTCTTGGAGTTTAGGTCCTCACTTTCCTTCATGGATTCAGTCACAAGGAAACTTGACTGATTTGGACATAGCCAAGGCAGGAATTTCAGATGTCATGCCAAGTTGGTTTTGGAGCTCGTTTTCAGATATTGTTTTCTTGAATATATCTCAAAATAGTATCCATGGGATTCTGAAAGGAGATCTTAGCATCCTTGCACCAAATGCAATCGTAGATCTAAGTGACAACTATTTTGAAGGTCCATTACCTGGAAATTTCAGTGAAGCTGATTTTGTTTTTCTAGATGTATCAAACAATAATCTTTCAGGGTCCATTGAGCAGTTCTTGTGTCCAAGTTTGGAAAAAGATAGACCCCTACAAGTTCTTGATCTAGCCAATAACAACATGTCGGGTGTTATTCCGGATTGTTGGATGAATTGGCAAGCTTTATCAGTTGTAAACTTTGAGAACAATAAGTTTTCTGGTGAAATTCCAGAATCTGTGGGGAACTTATTTTCCCTTCTATCATTCAACATCCGCAACAACAAGCTCTCTGGAAAACTACCTGCATCTCTATTGAATTCTGAAAGCTTACAGATTATTGAACTTGCTGAGAATGAATTCATAGGAAGCATACCATCGTTTATAGATGGAGAAGAAACAAAGTTGAAACTACTCAGCCTCAGATCAAACAAGCTGCAAGGTGAAATCCCTGATGAACTATGTCGTCTCACATCGATCCAGATCCTGGATCTTGCTCATAACAATCTATCAGGAACACTTCCGACATGCTTCTACAACTTCAGCATCATGTCTGGAAGGCAAGGCTCAAGTCCAATTGTTCTATATGATGTGCCATTTCAGGATCAAGTTCTTGGCAGTGCGTTGTTGGTGACTAAAGGAAGAGAGTTTGAATATAGCACCATTTTATATCTGGTAACAACTTTGGATCTTTCAGGTAATAAGTTTTCTGGACACATTCCACGAGAACTTATGGGGCTTGTAGGTTTGCGTTGGTTGAATTTGTCAGGAAATCAATTAACAGGAAGAATTCCAGAGGAGATTGGTGAAATGACATTACTTGAATCTCTTGATTTGTCCATGAACCAGCTTGATGGGAGGATTCCTTGGAGCATGTCGAGGTTGTCAGCCTTAAATTGGTTGAACTTGTCTTCCAACAAACTGACGGGAGAAATCCCAACAAGTACTCAGCTTCAAAGCTTAAATGAATCGAGCTTCAAGGAAAATGCACTTTGTGGGCCTCCACTTACAGTTGTATGCAACAAGAAAGGGGCACCACCTGATGCAAGCATAGGAAGTGGAGAAGAACAAAATGAGGATGATGAATCAGATGGACAGAACTGGGGATTTATCATCAGCATTGTGCTTGGATTTATAATTGGTTTTTGGGTTATGGTTGCTCCATTAATTGCAAGTAAAGTATGGAGAGGTGTTTACTTTTCTTTTCTCCATAAAGTGTGGTTCAATATTTGTATTGCTAGTCATAGTTAATGTTTCTTTGCATTTATTGTATCCTGAACTTCCTCCTGTCATGCCTAATTTAACTATTAATCTTGGTTTGCTTTGATCCTCATCTTTCTTATAACTTATAACAATTTCAGTACTAACTCGACACCTAATTTGATTTCTAGTTTTCGGAGTCTTGTTTCCTTTAACCCTCCGAATTGTGAATTCATGGGGTTTAGGGTAGGCCCAAATTTTCCTCATCGGCTTCAAAACTAAATGGATTTGTTCATCTTGTATCTTGTCAGTACGAGGATTTTGGATGACATTCTGAGTTGGTTCTGGTATCAACTTTAGAGCCGTTAAACTTGCAGAACAACAAGCTCTCAAGAGAAATCCACCGAAAGTATATCGATACTGTCAAGAATAAACAAGAATAAATTATACACATAAACACAACATTTAACGTGGTTCGGTTAATGTGACCTATCTACATCCACATAAGGAGCGACTTGAGCTTGAAAAACGATCATACAATTGAAATCCTAGCTATCAACCTTATTATATAGGCAAAGTACGAAACGCAACCCTAAATACACTAGTGTCATCTTCACATAGCACCATCTAACAATCGACACAAACCTGGAAGCTTAAGAACATGTGCGTGTGGCGAAATTAGGAATTGAAAAGCTTATAGAAGGGTCCGTCTTTCCGTCTTTTGTTGCTTCGGTCAATGCAAGAAACCTTTTGAATCCATTTGTGGTGGCACCTCTTCCAAGGGCCGCAGATCTACTAAGAACATCTTCTCTCGATAAAATAATTGCAACCGAAGGTAGACCCGCCATGGGAGGTGGCATAAGAGTTGCCACCACCTGTGCCTGTACTGTTTGCATGGTGATTCTGAAATCTCGGACCACTTCGTCCATATAGTTTGTTGGTCCCCTTTTTTTAGCCCACGTGATGTGTTTGGTTGTATGGAATGGAAAGACGAAGTAATAATATGGATAGGGTAATGAAATGAGTAATTACATTTCATAATCATGTTTGGTTGACCTACAAGAATCAAAGATGCAAAGTAAATACATGTCTCATCTTTTTCGGACTCGGAAATACAGGGGTACGGGGCCAACGCCCTTGGGTATAGGGTTCCAAAGGGCAGTGCCCCTAGCTGGGTCTAAGGGGCAGAGCCTTTGGCAGTGGTTATTCCTTACTGACTACTATTAAATGTTATTTTTTCATATAACCACCTCAAACCGCCAACTTCCAAGTATAAAATGGAAGATGGTCGTTGCATGCAAGTTACTAGTTTAATAGCTGAAAATTATATTCTTCTATCTACATGCAAATTGTCTCGAAGATATTTTGTGTTTGTGAATCATATTGGTCTTGTAATCTGATTCGATCTCTTGGATTATCCCATAAGTCCGCATTCATGTAACCCCATGAATAATGGTCGCATTACAGATTTCAGAAAGTGATTTCCAAACATGATCCAAGAGATTATCCAAGTTATTGTCATTCTAAACCTTTCAATTTTTACACAAACTTGATGAGAAAAACCGAACTCAAAATTTTTGGGACATGTTTTGGGTGGGGTAAATGGTTATGAGACCGGGTATGAGATATTTTTGAAAAAAATTGAGGGTTTAGGATGGTTATGGTATTAAGGTTATACATGTCTGATTACCCGATCCAGTATCCAGTCTAATTTACTCGTCCCGAACCATTTATATTTCATAATACTTATACTTTTATTATTAATATACGATTTCAAATTTATATTAAAACATTATATGAGATATTATAAATAGAAAGTTTCATAATAACTTTTATTAATATACTAATTTACTTGGTATTTAGTAATGAAAGTTAATTCCAATCGGTAAATTTGAACTTGATAATATCATAAATGGTATACCCACAAACTCGATGGGTTTCTACCGACCGGTACCCAACGAGACGGAACGGAGTTTGGTATACAATTTTCAAATCGGGTATGAGATTGGGATCCCATCGTCATCCCTAAATTTGGGTTGCCAAGGGGCCAATGTTGTTGGTGAGTCATGAAACTAAATTAGTGTTTCTTTTTACTTAGGGTGCGTTTGGTTGGCAGGAAATGAATGAAATTCGAGGGAAAATGATTCCAATTCCCTCGAATTCATGCGTTTGGTTGGACTTAGAGGAGAGAAAATAATTCCTAAATGAATTAAACTTTCCACCCATAGACTTAGAGGAGAGAAAAAGATTCCTAAATGAAATAAACGTTCCACCATATGGAGGAAAGTGAATTCCTTCCAACATTGGATGGAAAACATTCCTTCTCATCAAGGAAAGTGACAGATTACAAAAATACCCCTTGTACTTATCAGAAAACCCAACACCACTACCACCACTATCACCGACCACCACCACCACCGCCGCCGCCACCACCGCCGCCACCACCACCGCCACCACCACCGTTGCCGCCCCACCGACCACCAACGCTGTCGCCACAACCACAACCACTACCACCGCCACCGTTGCCACCACCGACCACCACTACCACCTCCATGACCACCACCCACCACCACCGCCGCCGTCACCACCACCCACCATCACCGTCGTCGCCGCCACCCACCGCCACTGCTTGCGACGCCACCACCACTACCATCATCGTCGTTACCACCGTCGTCGTCGCCGCCACCGACCACCACCACCACCACCATTATTGCCGCCGCCACCACCACTACCAATGCCATCACCCACCACCACTGCCGCAACCACTACCACCACCAACGTTGCTACCATCGCCGCTACCACTACCACCGCCACAATAAATACCACCGCCACCCACCATTGTCGCCGCCATCACCGCCATTGCCCCCACCACCACTGCCACGACCGCCGAAATTTTACAGTTTTTATAATTTTCATAATGTTTTTTACATATAAGTTAGAAAACAAGGTAAAATTAAGCAAAACATACAAAAAGGATAATTATATCATTTTACATGAATTCCAATTCCATTTCCTGCGAACCAAACAGATTCTGGAATTAATTCCAATTTCATTTCCTGCCAACCAAACAACATATGGAATTGGATTCAAATTCCTGACAGATTCCTTTTCCAATTCCAATTCAAATTGCTTCAACAACATTCTGCGAACCAAACAACACCTTAATGTAACTTAGATGAAATTGGAGAATGAATGGAATGGATAATTCCATTCTAATAGGCTCTTAGCATTTTTAATTTGTTTATCCTAAAATCTATCCATCCCCATTGTTTGTAACTTCTCTCCTATCATTGATTTTAATATATACAGTTGTGTACCTTGTGGTTTTCCCGACAAAGGATTTCCACACCACGGTTTGTGTTTTGTTTTCTTTTTATTTACATCTGATTTATTTCTATCTCGACGATTTTACAAGTTTGAAGCATATTCCTTTTTAGTTTCATTCTACATTACGGTAACGTATAGATCAAGTTTGAACATAACAAATATTTGAGATGTTTGATTGATAGAACTTTCTTTGTCTCAACGAGTTTTTTCAATAAATAAAATGGGTGTCTTTATGATGATTGTAATAATTTTGAAGTATCTTAGAGTTTATCATCATTAAGTGTTTGATTAAATTTAATTTGTAGAAATTTAGTGGGGTGGTGGGAATATAATCAATATATGGATCCCACCGTTAGAAAATTCGCTTTTGAGGGCTAAAGCACCAAAAAGTCTCTTGGATGGTCAAATTGGAGGTAGCACTCAAGTTTCCTTCTTAGTGTAAATGATGCTCCACAGGTTTTAAAGCCATGATATGGTGAATTTTAGATTTTTAACCAAGAGATTTAGGGCTAAGCATACTAACCAAAAAATCAAATTAAAATGAGTTAATTGATATAACTGAATTATTTTCAAAACTAATAGTTTGGTTTTGTTTTTTGTTAACCGATAAGTAAGGTTCAGTTATGGTTTTATATGGAAACCAGACCATTATAAACCGAACCGAAACCTTGTATGTAATTATATATCAATTGTAACTTATTGATAAATATTAAATAAATAAAGTCTAAGCCAGATTAAAAATTCCATGAAATTAACAATTTAAGAAGAAAATGTATGTTCTTCATCAATAAGATAATGTTTAACATCAATAAGAAAATGTATTTCTAAATCAATAAGATAATGTTTAATATTTAACGAACATATATTTGACTAATTTTGTTGATAATTTTTAAGGAGTTTGAAGTAGGGATGTCAAAGGGGCCAAACGGGACGAGGGTTGCACCCTCCGCCATTCCACCGAAATTCCTCGTTTCCCCGCTCACAAAATCACCAGCCTCCCCACCCCTTCCTCGCCTCCGAATTTCTGGATTTCCTCTGCCCTCGTCCCCGTTCCCCCAACCCGATTGATTTTGGGTTGCCGTTTCACCCACCCGCCATGGAGGGTTCGGAACAGTAATGCCCACCCTCGTCCCCGAAATTAAAACATGGGTTAACCCTGCTCCTGACCTCGATTTTTTTAAACAAATACTCTCATACGGGAGCCGGGTCTCATGAGACTTTTTGATATCCCTAGTTGAAGGACATATATGGTGGTTTTTAGGTGTCTAACTTAATAGATGAAATATTACAACTAAGTTGTTCATTTTTATAACAATTTACTTTTTGTTTTTTCTTATTTATAGAAATGTATTTTCTATTTTTTATGTAATTTTTGTACCATTATAATTAATCGATATTAACCAATAACCGAAACCATTACTAACCGATACTTAATGGCTGCCGAAATGCATTAACTGATTAGAATGGTTATGATTAGCCGGTTTTGTCTAATAACCGGACAAAACCGTCCCCTACACACCCTTAGATTGATCCGCCTAATCAATTTCCAACCTAAGTCTTGATTGATCAAGAGATATCACACACTATTTATGGAGTTTTCTATTAAAAAAATCATTTTCGGATATTGTTATTAATTTTCTCAATATATTAGAAATTTTCTGAAGAAAACCTTTTAAATATTGTTATAAGTATCTTAATAAACAATCTGAACAAAAATGAATAAAAAACAATTTGTAATTTTTCATTAAAAATTTATATTCACAATTCAAACAGAAAATATTCAATCTGTCATATATTGTTTCTTTTTAAATAAATGCGTACGTGGCAAGTTTCAATTGAATCGGATTTCTAATCCTCAAAATGCAATTGGCAGATTCTAATTATTTCCAAAAACTCCTTATATATATTTCTTGTTAAAAATAAATAAGTCTCAAATAAAAAAATTGCACGTCACATTCTAAGCACATTCTAAAAAAAAAAAAAAACCTTATATATTTTCTTATGGAAACAAATTAATTGTAGTGGACCTTTTTAGGCCAAAAGTATAAAATCATCCGATGATACCTTAGACTTTGTCATCCACCCGTCGACTCCTGCTGCTTGTCAAACCTTTTGTCCATTTCCAAAAGTATTCCACCGTTGAATGTTGATTCCTAATTTTAATTCCAACCTTTTTTGTCTATCAGCCTACAGAGTAAGTAGTACTACATGCCCTCGCTCTCCAACAAATAGATAAGATGGAGAATGACTTCGTGGACCATCCCATTGAGGAGTAATATGATACGAGTTCATCAGTATGCAACTATGCATGCATAATCATGAAATGAGATGGAGGACCCATTTTTCATTTTTGGTCATATATAGGGCTACCTAGCTAGTCGACCTCGTAGACTAACTTTATGTCACTTCCTCAAGTGGGGTACGTACGGAGTTTGAGATGGAAAATACACAATCAGTGTGGATGCAAGACTTGAAAAAAGATTCACGGCCAATTAATTCTCTTCCTTCGCTGAATTTGAATGTATATATAACCATCTAACTGAACTACATGCATTCACTTACCATAAGTCAGCGATTGCATATTTCCGTTGCATGCATACTGATATGAAATCTTTCTTACTTCTTTCTTCTGCTTCTTCTTCTCGTCTCCTTCAGTTTCTGATTGTTTTAGCACTATGCTGTTGTTGCCTATGCAGTGAAGACTCTAATGATCTTCTATGCATCGAGAGTGAGAGAGTAGCTCTTCTGCAGTTCAAAACTGATCTGATAGATGCTGCCAACAGGCTCTCTTCTTGGAGTACCGGCAACAACAATGACTGCTGCAAATGGGCTGGTGTGGTTTGCAATAACATTACGGGTCACGTCCAAGAGATTCACCTTGGTGGGCCTGCTGATGGGCTCCATGGTCATTGTCACGGTTCTTATGACACTGATGCTGAACTCGATGCAGCATCGAAACAGATGTTGGGTGGGAATATAAATCCTTCCTTGCTGTCGTTGAAGCAGCTTAACTACTTGGACTTAAGCTGCAATGATTTTGGAGGGATCCCAATTCCTGGTTTCATTGCGTCCATGAGGAGTCTCAGATATCTTAATCTCTCAATGTCTCAATTCGATGGACAGATCCCTCACAATCTAGGGAATCTGACCATGTTGCGTGTTCTTGATCTCAGATTCGGGTTATGGCAGAGCAATTTTCCTTTGAAGAATCTAAAGTGGCTGTCTCCTCTTCGTATGTTGCAGCACCTTGATTTGACAGGATATGATCTCAGCAGTGAAGATGAGTGGCTACAGGTGATGAACACTCTTCCTTCTTTGTTAGAATTACGTTTGTCTTCCTGTTCACTTCCACAAATCCCTCGTCACATAAATACTGTTAATTTTACATCACTTTCCATCCTCGATCTTTCCTACAATACCTTCGATACCAGTTTTATGCCTCTCTGGATCTTCAACCTAACTAGCCTCGTTTCCCTCGATCTCACCAACTGTTTCTTCCATAATCTGGTCCCAGTTAGATTCGGTGCTGGTTTTCAGAAATTGACATCCCTTAGGGTTCTTCATGTTTCTGGTAATGATGCTATGAACCATTCGTCACTGATGAAGGGGGTATCGAGCCTAACAAATCTTGTTTCGCTAGATATCAGTAGTTGCTATCTGACACGTCCAATCCTCCATGACCTTCAGAACATGAGTTCCCTTGTTAGCCTTGACTTGTCAAACAATAAAATCAATGAGTCGTTACCTACTTCATTGGTTAATCTGTGTAACTTAAGGTCCATAGCTCTTCAGTCTAACCATTTGTATGGAAGTATAACCGAGCTTCTTCAAAACTTGTGCGAATGTAAATCATCTAAGCTTGAGTCTATAGGATTCTGGGGTAATTATCTTGTTGGCTATATACCTGAAAAACTTGGAGTTCTAAAGAATCTGATCACCTTTGATCTTGGATTCAACTTTCTAACCGGTCAAATCCCAGAGTCTGTAGGAACGTTGCCAAATCTGAAGACGTTAATACTTAACGCCAACTCAATCACTGGTCAAATCCCAAATTCAGTAGGAAAACTTTCGTTTTTGGATAGGTTAGACCTTTCAAACAACCTATTAATCGGAAGTCTTCCTGAAAGCTTAGGTCACCTTTCGAGATTGACTTTTTTGAATGTGTATAACAATCTGTTGAATGGTTCAGTCAACTCAAATCAGTTGACAAATCTTACATCGTTGAAAACTTTAAGGGGTGAGAACAACAAATTGACACTGCAATTGCAACCAAGTGTTGATGAAAATTGGGTTCCTTCTTTCCAACTAGACGTGCTGAGAATTGGGTCTTGGAATTTAGGCCCTCGTTTTCCTTCATGGCTTCAGTTTCAGGGAAACTTGACTGAGTTGGATATATCAAATACAAACATTTCAGACGTCATGCCAGATTGGTTTTGGAGTACATTCTCAGGCATAGGATTCTTAAACATCTCCCACAATAGAATCCAAGGAAAGCTGACACAAGATCTTGAATTCCTTGCTACAAATGCAGTAGTAGATCTAAGCGACAACTCATTCAATGGTCCATTACCTAGTTCTTTCAACAGACCCGACATTGATTTTCTTGATCTTTCAACGAATCATCTTTCAGGGTCTCTACAGCAATTCTTGTGTCCAAAGATCCAGGAATCAAGACAGCTAAAAGTTCTTAATCTTGCAAACAACAACCTCTCTGGTGTTATTCCAGATTGTTGGGTGAACTGGGATTCTTTATATGTCTTAAACTTGGAGAACAATAGGTTATCAGGTGGAATCCCAAGATCTGTGGGAGAAGTACCTTCGCTTAGATCATTAAACATACGCAGGAACAATCTTTCTGGAAAGATACCTGTGTCTGTGATGAGTTCAAGGAGCTTGCTAATCATTGATCTTGCTGATAACAAATTCACTGGAATTACACTCACCCCAAAATGGAGAAAAGCTACAAGGTTGAAACTTCTAAGCCTTCGTTCAAACATGTTGGATGGAAAGTTTCCTAATGAACTCTGTCATCTCACTTCAGTTCAAATCTTAGACCTTGCTGACAACAATCTTTCCGGGAGCATACCAACATGTTTCAACAACTTCACCATAATGTCTGGAAAAGAAAGCTCAACTCCTATCATTCTTTATGATGAATTCGACCAAAATCAAGTTCTGGGAAGTGCATCATTGGTGACAAAGGGAAGGGAGAGTTCATATAGCACCATTCTTTATTTGGTGACAACCCTAGATCTTTCAAGAAACGGATTTTCTGGGAACATTCCTGATGAGTTAATGGAGCTTGTGGGATTGCGTTATTTGAATCTTTCTGGAAATCAGTTGAGAGGAGGGATTCCAGAGAATGTTGGAGGCATGCGATTGCTTGAATCTCTGGATTTGTCTTCCAACTTGCTTGAGGGTGGAATTCCTTGGAGAATCTCGAGTTTGACTTTCTTGAATTGGTTAAATGTATCTTACAACAGTTTGACAGGAAGAATCCCAACAAGCACTCAGATTCAGAGCTTCAATCAGTCCAGCTTCATTGGCAACAGGCTCTGTGGGCCTCCTCTTCAGAATCGATGTGGATCAGTAGCTCATGTTGATGGGACAAAGGATGAAGAAAACAGGGATGAAGGAAATGAAGTTGATTGGGTGTTGATAGTGTGTTTGGTGGTGGGATTCTTCTTTGGATTCTGGGTGGTGGTTGGACCATTGGCAGTGAATAGACTATGGAGAACCACATATTTCGGGTTCCTGAATAAAGTATGGCATAAGGTTTGTGGCATCTTTATCTCAAAACCCAAACATGCCACCTTGGAAGCTCTTTCTGACAATTATATATAAATATATGATATGTTAGTAAAGCTGTATAATGTTTCCATTAGTCGTTAATTAAGTGTATGTTTCATGATATTGCTCAATATATTTGTTGAGTGTGTTGCTGTTATGGGTAAACTGTTAGAAAACTTGATCCAAGCTTGTTAAGAAGATACAAGTTGCTATTTTTCAAACTGAAACTGAAACATATTATAAATTTATTACATTCTTCATTACTTACAAAACATGGTACACCAGTAGATACGAATAACATCACAAATCATATACCTCAGTTTATTCAAGAAACCAAAATATGCAATCCTCCATGTGGTGCTGAGTATGAGTGGAGTCAACACAGCCCAAAAACCAACAATCAATCCAGAAACTATGCAAATAATCAATCCCCAATCTGCTCCATGTGACCCATTCTTGTCTTCTTCTTGGTCTCTGGTGAGTAGTTCAACTGCACAAGTTTTGGTGAGTGGATGTCCACAAAGTTTGTTGCCCAAGAAGCTGGACTCACTGAAACCCTGAAGCTGTGTGGATGATGGGACTCTTCCAGTCAGATTGTTGAAGGACACATTGAAGTTACTCAAGAAACTTAAGGTTGACAAGCTCAAAGGAAGCTCCCCAGAAAGCGAGTTGAGAGATACATCGAAGGATTCAAGTAATTTCAAGTCTCCAATCTTGTCTGGGATTCTTCCTGTCAACTGATTTCTTGATAAATTCAATGAGCGTATCGCCTTGAGGTCCATTAGCTCACTGGGGATTTGTCCGGAGAAGTTGTTACTAGAAAGGTCCAGAACCATCACTAATCCAAGAATCGTGCTGTATGTGTCCTCTCGTCCCTTTATCACCAATGAAGCACTACCCAAAGCATCCATACCTTCAAATGGTGAGAAATTAAATTGATCTTTTGAGTTGGCTTCTTTCCCGGTTAGAAAACCGAAATTTTTCAAGCACCTTGGAATATTTCCTGATAGATTGTTATCTCCAAGGTCCAAGATCTGAATTGAGGTAAGATTACAGAGCTGATGAGTTGTATCTCCATAAAAATTGTTTGATCGGAGATCGAGTATTCTCAAGTTGGGAAGTTCTCTCCCGAACCATGCCGGAATTGTTCCAGCAAGTTCATTCCCAGCAAGTTGAAGGATTTGCAAGTTTGTCAAGTTCTTCATATGCAATCTTCCAGAGAGTTTGTTGTTGCACATGTTTAATGATCCTAGTGAAGATAAAGATCCCAAACTTGTTGGAATCCTACCAGACAGATAGTTGTTCTCCAAGTTTAAGAATGACAAACTCGGCCATTTGTGCCAATAATCAGGAATGATACCTGATAGATGATTATTTGCCAGATTAAGAACAGCTAGCACTTTCTCACTGTTGGGACACAACAAATGATGTAAGGACCCTGAAAAAGAGTTATTTGACAGATCCAGGATCAATGCAGATGAAGCATTTGAGAGTTGAGGTAACAACCCGCCAAACTCATTAGAACTCACATCGAGTACTTGGATTGATGCTGGGATCATACGAGCGGGAAATATTCCTTGGATATGATTTTGTGACATATCCAGATAGAATAGATCGGGCAATGATCTCAAAAATGAATCAGGGATGGTTGATGAAATTCTGGTGTTGCTTATCTCCAGACCTACTAAATGGGTGTGCACTTGCAGCCATGATGGAAATTGTGGCCCTAAATCCCAAGAACTTAGAGACAAGATTTTCAACTGGAAAGATGGAATCCAGTTTGCAAGGTGTGATCTAAGGGTTAAGTTGTTTCCTGCTCCAACCAGGATTTTCAGTCTTGCTAGTTTTGCAAAGTGAGATTTTGTCACTCCACCGGTCAACGAATTGTTAGAAAAAGCTAAAAGAAGCAACTCTGAAAGTTGACCAAGTCCATTAGGAAGGCTGCCATTCAGTTGGTTATCTGAAAGATCTAACATCTCCAGTGATGATAATCTTCCAATCGAGTTGGGAATCAGACCAGAAATAAGATTGTTTTGAAGATTTAATGACCTGAGACTAGATAGTCGCCCGATTGAATCTGGAATCATACCGACAAACCCGTTTCCTCCAAGTTGGAGATCCACAAGATATGTCAGTCGTCCGATTTCATATGGCAGTTGACCAGAAAGTCCAGAGGACCCAACAGATAATGACTCCAACCTTGGTAGCTTGCACTCAAAAAAACTTTCAAGAACGCTTGTTAAACTAATATTAGAAAAATGGTTACCTTCCAAATTAATATGTCTCAAATTGCAAAGATTAGCCAATGACTTGGGGATTGTTTTGGTGAGTTCATTTTTTGACAAATCAAGGCTAAGAAGGGAAGTCAAGTTGTGAAGGGCATCATCAAGAAGTGAACTAGAAACGCCACAAAAACTAATATCTAAGGAAATGAGATTACGACCTACATTACTAGACAACCCTTTCAGTACTAACCAAGAGTTCATGAAAGGGTTATATGGGACGTGAAGCGACTCAACAGAAGTCAAATTACTGAACAGATCAATACTGCTAGGATTATAGAAATGATGAAAACCACACCAACTTAGATCCAGTGAAACTAGAGTAGTTATACTGAAAATCCACTGTGGTAGGGAACTGTTAATGAAATAGTTATCTGAAAGATCGAGGTGAGCTAGGGATGTGAGATTAAGACTGGCAACATCGGGATATATATCTATATGTGTATGTGAGAGATTACTATGAGACATATGTAGTTCGACCAAAGAAGGGAGAGTGTTAATCACCTGAACCCAAATCAGTTACTTTGCCTAAGTCTACACCACTCATATCCAGGTGATGCAACCCATGGAGGCTTGACAACCAATGCATATGATTACTCATGCTAGTTAACTCACGCTCAAATATAGCATTGTAAAAACTTCCAAGAGAGAGGATGCGCAATTCAGATAGATTCCCTAGCTGAGGGGGGATACTTCCACCAAATCCAGAGCGCGACAGGTTAAGATATCTCATGTTTTTAAAAGAACCCATAAAGCTAGGAATTTGGATTCCTCCGAAATTATTGCTGCTCGAGTCCAGATGTTTGAGGTGCTTCAGATGCAGCAGGGATGGGCTTAAATTCCCTCTTAGTCTTTGATTGAAGCATTCTTCGTATTCTTTGGATGTGCTATAATCATCAGTATAACAATGATTAGAAAGATGAATCTTTTGTACATGACCAGTAGAGTTATCACAAACAATCCCAGTCCAAGTGCAGCAATCGGTCTTCTCACCAACCCATGAAGCAAGTCGATCTGTTTCATCTATGAGTCCGTGTTTGAACTCTAGAAGGGTTTGTCTCTCATCATCCTTGCATAACACATCATTACTGGACGACGTGCATAAAGGAAATAAAGCCACAAGTACAACAACAACAACAAGTAAGGAAGAGAAATGTGGAAATGAAAAACCAATACGCATATTGATTGATGATGAAGAATGAAGATGATAATAATATTAGTCACTTTATGTTAAGAGGGACATAATTGGCATCATGCATTCTGTTAGCGTTTACTTGAAAAGTCAAAGTCTATTCTACTGTGATCCATTTCTTATCTCGTGTTTGACAGTGTCGTATACTCTTTTATACTTTCTTCTTGAAAATTAAATGTTTGATTTGACATATATATATTATAATAAGAGATAAACTAACTTTTTATAAAACGGGAAAGAGACCCCCAGAGTGATTGGTGCAAATCACAGCATCAAAGGATATTTTCTGCATCACTTTAAACTGACCCGACTCTACTAGAACGAGGAGGGAATCATTGCAGAATGTAAACACTTGAGCCTTGTAATTCAAAATAAAAATACAACAGTCGTATATAATAAAGTACAAAACTCATGCAAGAATGTATTTAAAGAGTTGTACAATACAAATACAAACTACTGACCACAAGGAAGGATTGATTTCATCTGCCTTATGTAAAGTAAGAACTATCAAATTACTATGTTACAAGCATGATTTGATTTTAATCAAACGGGTCAATGCGTGGATCATGCTCACTCGCCATAGCCATTCCTGTACAAAGACAAGTTGGGCACATAACCTGCAAAATGAAATCAACTCACACTCATATAATCTAAATCTAAATAAAAGACTAAATGACCATTTTACCCTTACATTCCAAAAAAACAAATTTCACAACATTCAACTTACTTTTCCTGCACCCGAGCAGTTGGAACATCTTTCTGTTTTAGGTGGTGATAGCGGTTGATTACCACCGTTAGCAGATGCAACGGGATCAATTAGAACAATTGCCCCTGTGCTAGCACACCTAGCACAAGCCAGATACCCTGCATCACATCATCAATAACTTCACTTGTTAACTTGTTATAACAAATCAGATTCAAACTTGCTTATTTGTTGTTATTACCTGTTCCTAGACAATACTTGCATCTTTTATGCTCTTGTTGTTTTACATTGTTTATTTCAACCACCATCAAAGCTGAAATCACACCAACTGCTCCTCCAGAGAATGATGCCACAATCGGATCAACATCACTGAATTTGTGCATCAAAATGATAAACAATCGGATTTAATTTTAATGAATTGCATGATTTTATTAATTTATACCTCAACTGCATAGGAAGATGCATGCTAGAAATGAAATCTGCATATGATGTCCCTCCTATTCCCAATTTCAGCTCCAACTGAGATCATAATTCATAAAGTTTTTAAGAAAAGCTGCATAGTACATGTGTTGATTTTTTGTAGTATATATGGAAAAGAAACCTACTGTAGGTGCAAGGAGACCTCCAAAAATAATAATTCCAGAAATTAGAGAAAAACAGCTGGCATAGTATTGTTTGAGATTTGCTGAGGTCTGCAAAGATAGAAAACTCTTAGTTGCCACATGAAGAAAACAGAAAACTAAGATGAAATCAATAACCAAGTTTCCTATATGTCTAAATGCATAAGGATATCATTATCTGGTGTGGATAGTCAATGAAATATACCAGAGGAGGCAAGAAGGGGATGAAGGAAGGAAAATTTGGAAGCTCGCCATCTTGTTCTTCATCTGAGATTCCAAGTTCGGCACTTTTTATTCTCTGTTGTATCCTTAGCCGGCGGACCTGAGAAAAGTATACGATCCCAATTCCCACCAATGTTCAAGTGAGCATCAATCATCTTACAAAACTAGAGCATAACGCAATTAGATAACTCACGCAATATTACAGATGAAAATTCTGAGAAACTTGCTCACCTCCTCCATGTGTAAAAATATTTTATTCCGACGACTTCTAATATTATCTTGAATTTCTTGTATATCCATTTTATCAAAGTCCTGAACTGTTTCAGGTCCTTCGATTATACAGAACCTGCATCAGTAAATTATACCATATGATTCAAAGCAATATTACGTAGTGCACACACTTTATTACGCCTGTAAGGTAATGAATTTGAGAGAACAGGGCAACAACATAGCCTAAGCTGCAATCAACTACTAACTCCACAAATAGAATTGTGTCATTTTGGCCGAAACGCACAATTAATATGCAAGGAAAGCATAGACGATTACCCTGCCGCGTTTTTCTCCGCTGAATCAGCATCAATCGAGGCAGCAGCTGAAAACATAGAAGCATCTGGATCGGACGATACCTTCGATCGCCATCTGACAGTAGATTTTAGGTTTCGACATAAGTATCTCGAGTTATGATACGCAGCCGGAGTATAAGAGGAAACCGACGGCGTTAGGGGATATGAAGCATCCAGTAGTCGAGCCGAGTATACCATCTCCTCCGATTATCAGTCGCCTTCCTCCACTTCCCTTTCTCCGTCTCTATAAGTTCCTATATGAATTATCGTTGTCTCTCTCACACACAGTAGTGTGTGTAGTTGGGTTTCAGGTAGCGACAATAGAGCATCGTGAGTGAGGAACAATTTATGTAGTATAGCCGGAGCAGCGGATCTTCAATGGAAGAAGGTGTGTTTATTGCCACGTGTATGGGCACTATCTCTTTTCTTTAATTATTTTCTTTGTGTAAACTACATAAAGGACCTTACAGTTCTATAAAAATAACCAACGGACCCCTGTACTTCTAAATATATGATTAATCCATCGATGTCCCAAGTTTGCATCTCGTGACTTGTAAATTTGGAACCTAATACAAATTTAGTGGATGAACCACATATTTAAAAATCCATGGAGTTTGTTGGTCATATCGCATAAATCCATATTTCTTTTATTGGACACATGATGATAGGTGGAATAATTATGTGGACTCCAATACAAAAATCCAACAATGGATCTTTCATTTTATTTCGATTATTTACTGGATAATGTTGGATATTTTAATTGATAACTACATCTTTTTATAAATATTATTTTATTTTTTTCGTGGAATAAAAATGGAGTTGTTCATTAAAGAGACATGTAAAATAAAAATGTCTCGCCATATAACCATTTTTTTCAGATTTTAAAGTAATTATTATTATTGCTAACGGGACCTAACGATTTTTTTTATACAAGTATCATCCAAAACAGTTGTGACACATTTCATATTTTATGAGGAATATTTAAGGTGGATATAATTGTGCCTACCTAAAATTATCGTTTAAGCATGTGCGAGCTTCTTACCTTTTGCAAGTAGCGATATTTTGTTCGTTCATGAAGTAACGTTCAACCGTGACACATCAACCATAATCTCACTTCCTTAGATGTCATTTCTTTCTATTAGTTTAAGGGTTTGAAGATTATATCTTTAGGCACTTGTCTAATTATATCTTTAGAGCTTGAAAGTGTTTAAACTTCAAGAGTGTGTTAGCAGATGCTCCACTCGACCGAGTAACATTCTGAACAGTGGCGGACCTTAGTGGTGCCCGGGGGGTCCCGGGCCACTGCTCCGATTCCGGCACGTAGTATAAAAAAAATTTCTTTTTATGTTTTTTTTATTAGGTGCACCGACTTAAAATACGAGTGTCACTACTAATTTAGATTTTTTCGGAAATTTTTTTTAGTACCACCCCTACTGAAACGTTCTACGTCCGCCACTGATTCTGAACAAGAAACTTGTATCTTTTGTCACTTTTGAATGTAAAGGTCCAAATGAAGTTGTGTTTTTCAATGTCTTTCTATTATCCCATTGAAGATATGTAATGATTAAAATGAGATGTGAAGGATTAAGAACCCTAATTAGAGTAATTAAGGTGTAATTAGTTGCTAAGTAGTATATATGATCTCCCAGGTGGTTGCATGGTTGAGTATTATATTGTTAGGTTCTGCCGAATATATGTGAGAGCTTGATGTGATCGTGGTATGCATGGTAATTTACAATTTTTCTATAACATGCTATGAAGGAATATGTTATCATTAACCATTATTTATTATTATATGTAAAATGTTGGACTATCAACATCAATTCCCCTTACAAGATACTTAAAATCACCCATGCATGCCAATTGTAAGAATGAACCTGATTCATTGTCATAAGTAATCAATTATAAATTTGGTTACTTTCAGCATCGAAAGATCCATTGTCACCTGTGACATCCTCAATTTCACGGTCAGAAAAGACCGATTTATTTATGCTTTGTTTTAAAATCAGAGTAATCTTTTAAAGAAAACTGTTGCGGAATTTGTTCCCAAAACAAAATATTATAAGAATCTATCAAAACTTTTATTGAAGAAATGTATTTTCATTAAATAACAAAATCTCGGGATGTCATGTTCCGATACAGACCAAAAGCATAAACAGTACTAAATAAACCTTACAACAGTTATTTTCAACTACTGGTCTATATCCAAAGTATCTTGTTAAGTCATCCGACTTATTCACTGGACAACTTCAGCACTTCCGAGACGCTTCAGCACCAGACCCACCGGACCTGCATGTCGGATGTTTTGCCTTTTATCACTGCTTTCCCTCACCATTTCCGAGCATTTAGGGGGAGATCGTTGGAGCATGAAAATGCTCAACAATGTTGAATGTTTATTATGTTAGAATATTCTCTTGTATGAAAAGCATATTCCCTCCACTAGTATATAAAGTGGAGGTGATGGTCATTTTATTTGTAAGAGTGCACTATGTAGAATTTGTAGTTTAGAGAGGGTGTGGTGGGATCTCTCCCACCAAGGGAGAGTTATCTCTCCTAACCTATGAGTGTTTTTGTAATATTTTATATCTCTCTATCTATCTACTACATTTTTTACTCACATGTCTTGTTCATCATGTTCATACACGATTATCTTCTTGGTAATATCTTTCGCACCGATCCAATCGATAAAATGGGAACCTACAGGAACATGTACACCATAAAATATAGGTGGAAAAAGGTTTCGCTCTAATTTATGAGAATAATTATGAGGAAATACTTTCGCTAGTAGATTTTAAAGACCTAATTATGGTTAGTGGTTGTGTTAATTGCATTCTCTAATTCGCAATATGATTATGACATCCCTTTTCATAGTTCGAATTG